TGGCGGCCCGGCGCCGCGGGCGGCCGCGGTCAGCTGCGGTCAGCTGTGGTCGCCGCTCGTCCTCGTGTCGTTATATAACATTATGAACTTTTATTATTCAAAAAAAAAAAAACTACACTGGTAAAAAGTGAATGAATGATGTCATTTGATTGACAGGTCGGTCGATTGATGATGTCTGAATGATAACTAATCCATTTTTCTCTGTTCTACTTCTTGTCTACAGATCGATCAGCCCGATCTGTTGATCCCGATCGAGTGGAACAACGAAACGAAGAGGTCACAGGTCGAAACCCAGGTCAGTGACCGACCCTGTCGATGTCTGTTCATGCCCCCCCCCACACCGACCCCCCACCTCACTCTCTCTCTCTCTCTCTCTTGTCCAGACACTGCGGCCCTTCTTGTCCACCTGTCAGAGGTACCTGACCTTACTGGGGGCCCCTGATGACAAGAGTCTCCACCACGTGGGACACTTCCTGTCTCTGTCCTCTGAACTTGCAGTCGCTGCTTCACCGCCGCGGTATCGCCTGTCGAAAGGACAACTGTACCAGCGCATGTCCATCAGAGATCTCCAGGTACGGCCCTGTCCTCACTCAGACGTCCACATGTCCCCCCCAGTCGGTGGTCTCTTCACCCAAATGTCCCCACAGCTCCAGGCCCCTGACATCGACTGGTTAGGATGTCTGCAGACCACCTTTGAGCCACTCAACATAACTGAGGACGACCAGGTGTTTGTCCATAACCTGCCCTTCATGGTGAACATGTCGCTCATCGTCAGGAAGTGGAAGAACAAGCCGGAGAACAGCAACTTGTAGGAGACACACGGTTCAAATGTGACAAACAAAAACCAACACAAACCTGCTGAGTTTTTTCTTCTGACTCTTCTTTGTCTGGTGGTTCCGTCCTGACTCAGTGATCCGCTGCAGACCTTCATGGTCCTGAACCTGCTGCACACCATGATGCCTGCACTGGACTCCAGGTTCTCTAATGCTTCCAAGACTTTACCTGTGGCTCTGGAAGGAACCGGGGGGGTGAGTCAGTGAACACAACACAACTAGGACTGTAGAGGGCGCTGTGGTCCGCTCTGTGGGCTAGAACTAGCCTCTGGCTAATGAAAAACATATATTATTGAATTCATATTTTTATACATTTATTTTATTTCTATTAAAAAAAATCTAAAGATTAAGATCATTTTAATGTAAAAAACACTACTACTATCAGTAATCTGTATGTAAAAAACACTACTACTATCAGTAACACGTTACTTTTTTAATGCCATAGTTACTATTCCTTGTATCTGATTACTTTTATACTTCAGTAACTCAGTAACTACCTCAGTAACAAGTAACTGGAAACAAGTAAATTATGACTTTTTTTCAAGTGCCGCCGCCCAGTGGTTAGTTACCGTAACTATAATTTGCTGCCGAATACGAGTCCGCGGTCCCTGCAGTACATATGCCACGCCTGTATGTGGTGCTGTGTCAACCACACCATACAGCTTGCAAACTGTATACACAGTCTAACGAAGCTTTAAAGACCGAGATGGCTAACGCTAGCACACCAGATAGCTGAATTAGCTTCTCGACGTCGTATGGTTGTCGTCGCCGTGTAAACCGAGCCGGAGTTTATGGTTGACCTCCTCCCCAGGCACAGCCTCGATGGCAGCGCTGCGTGACGGAGACAGAGAAAGGGTTCAGCCCCGTCCTCACACACCTTCTCAGCCAGGGGGCAGCACACAGAGAGGTGAGCCGTCCGGCGTCACGTGTTTCTCCACAGATGAATCTAACGACGACGTCACATTTATTTATTTATTTTATTTTTCCAACAGGCCCAGGAAATCATTCAAGACATATTTTCTGCCTTTAAATCCAAGTTACAGCAACTCAAGTTGACCAATCAGACGACGCGCCGTATTCTCATTGATAAGGTAAAACAGGAACCCAGACTATCATCGTCGAGCTCATTATTATAACTATTACTTTTATCTTCATAATATTTATTTATTTCATTTTTTTCCGACGCAGGTTAATTCTCTGGTTCCAAAAGTCTGGACTTCAGATGAGACGAAGAGTGAAGATGAGCTGGACCGTCTCTATTCTACGGTACATTTGACCTCCACATGACCCCCACACATACAACCACATACCATGTACATGCACTGTATATTTCTGTGTAATGATAAAAAAAAAAGTGAACTGCACCACATGGTGGCAGTGGTGAGTGCTGCCAACAAGATGATAAAAACAGTCTAAATCTACACAGTGTATAATATATAATAAGAATTATAATATATGTATAAAATATAATGTCTTATTAATATGTTGATATATATATGTGATGTCACTTCCTGGTGAGTAGGACGTTTGAACTCTGAATTTCACTGCGACAGATCCGTGTAAACGTTCTGTCTTCAGTCGTGTCTTATCGCTGTCGTGTAAACAGCGCCTCACGTTGACCGTGAACTGTTGTCTTTCTCAGAAAGTGACGTCAGCGCCACCTGTTGTCACTGTGATGTGTCCTTATCAGCTGTTTGTTTTGAAGGCGTGGTCGCCCAGTTAGAATCAGCAGGACAACCACGCCCCCTGCAGGTTCATTGTCATGCCTGCAGGCTCCCGTACCCAGGGTTTGATGATTGTCATTCTGACCTTGACCTCAAATCACCGCTCAGTCCAGCAGTCATGTGATTTCAGGTGTCCATGAACGACCACCGGTTCTTCTCCAACTACGTCACGTTGTTGTCCCTGTGGCAGCGGAGGCAGAGGGCAGCGCTGAGTGGCCACGGCGTTCCCGTCGATGTGTGAGTGTGGACTTCAAACTGTAACGGATCAGTAACAGATGATCAGTGATCTGATGATGTCTCATCTCCTCCAGTCTGTCGGTGACGCCAAGACTCCTGGGAAACCGCCTCCTCTTTCCCATGGGACTGTTTGTCCCGCCTCTCTTCCATCCCACCTATCCCAGGTGACCTCAGCTCTGATCGTGGAATCACCTCGTCTTCATCACTGCTGTCATTGAACCTTGTTTTTTTTTTCCATTTCCTCTCCCTTTTTTAATCAGGGCAATGAATTATGGGGTGGTGGGCTTCCTCGTCGCCAAAGACCTCCTCCACCTGCTGCTGCCGAACAGTAAGAGCTGCAACGTAGTACTTTTTAAACCAACTACAGACAACCACACAGTCTCATTCTCATCCACATCAAACAATTGAACAGTTTTGTTTTTCTAAACCTCTGGGTCGCAGACCACAGACAGGGTCACCTTCTGTGATAAAGGACGTCACAAATACAAACAAAAATGTTCCTCATCAGTAGAACAGTGGGAAATGTAATTCATAAAAACATTCTAATATCAAAACTCCTTAATTATAGGGTTTTTGTCATTATATTTTTGTCATTATATATTGATATATTTATATTGCTAAGGTTTAACTTTATTGATTCCGCAACAGGGAAAATTGAATTGAAACCAGGAATCCTAACTGCTAGACCATATGGGATTCTATTAATATATGTATATATATATATATTTTCTTCTTCTTCTTTCACGTTCCTATATACAAATATATAAATGTATTTTTATACATACAGATATGTAGGTACTGTATATAACATACATATACACAGTATATATTTCATATATGTCTCATCAAGTGATTTACATCAACTCTTATGATTTTGGTCAGTTTACTGCCTGGTCACATCTGTCTGACTGATTTTCTGTCTGTTGCTGCAGTTCACTCCCAGAGTGAGACAGTGAGAGACGTGGGTGGATGTGTGTGGACTCACTATCTCACAGTGACAGACAGAGCAGGTGGAGCAGGTGGAGGAGGAGGTGCTGCTCTGACAGCAGCTCAGCAGCAGGAGCTGTGGGTTCAGTACACTGCACTGCAGACAGCTCTGCAGGTGAGGAAGCTCAGAGTTTGGTTTCTTTTTTTAAACCACTGTCACCAAACAAACATCATGTGTTTTCACCCGTGTCCCTCCAGGCGTACCAGCTAAATCTGGAGACACGTCCAGAGGACACGTCCATCTCTGGACTGTCCTACACTCGTCTCTTCCTCTCCTCCTTTTCTCAGGTAATGAACGCTTGACGTTTGATGTGTTTTTATTTCCCTCACACACTCACACTGTTGGGTTTGTTTTTATTTCCCTCACACACTCACACCAACTGCTGTCTTCATCAGGGTCTTGTTTGATTGTTTTCCTCAGATGAACTGTGACAGCGACCCCCACCATGAGTCCATGCCCCTGCAGCCCTCCTTCTTGATCACAGTCTTTTGTGCCGGATCCGATCTTTGTCCATCCGACCTCCGGTGTCCACGGAACGCCCGGACACATTCCTTACAGAAATGCTGAAGAGACTTTAGTTATTCAGTTTCCTTTACTCAATACTGCCACCTGTGTGGTGCTGTGGGAAAATCAGCCGAGCGCCGCGGACGTCTGACGAGCGTCGGAGTGATGAAGGTCTACGCGGCGGCCGTGAAACCCCAGAGACACTGATGTACTTCTGTATCTGTAGCTTTTGGATGTTCTGTCTGCTGTTTATTGTTGGATAAATATATATACATTAAAAAAACTATTTTCTTTTACACAGTTGTTGGAGTTCTGCAGAAAATGTTGGAGAACCAAAACTTAAAGAACTCACTACGAAGAAATGTGGTAGAAAATATATTTTGTAAGGTTTTCAGATTTCCTCCACTAATTCCAACAACACAGACAAAAGAAATGAAATAACATCAGGAAACACAGCTCCAGGAAGTGATGTCACTGACTAGCTGTGGCTCAAAATCACTCACGAAGAAGATTTGGTACAAAGAGTAAAGTCGATGCTGCAAATACAGTGTCAATACGGGGGGCGGGGGTGGGTCAGAGGACGCCCCACACCTCCTCAAAGGCCGAGCAAATCTTGGCACAGGTGAGTGCTCCAGAGAGCGGGTAGTTACTGATCGACACCGTTTTCTCTGTGTAGTCCACGTTAATCTGACGGACGAGAAAAAAAAACACCCGTTAATGTCAGTGGATCAGCAGCATGTGAAACATGAAGACACTTCTCACCGCTCCGTGTGCAAATGCTCCGATCACCACGGCGGCCGGTCCGTCTGGCACCAGTGTGCGGGGGCAGACGGCCTCCCCTGAGGTGAAGGAGGTGCCAATGCGGGGGCAACCAGGAGGCAGGTGGTTCGTCACCGGGTTTTTAATCATCCTCAGAAGCTTCTGTGGTCCGTCAGCGGCTCTGACGCTCAGCTTGTGCAGCAGCTGGACTAAAATGGCAAAAAGAAAAAGATAAGTTTCTGACATAATTAATAAACAAATAAATAAACCACAAAGATGACGATGAAGTTTACCCATGAGGCCACAGAAGCGGGGGAAGGTCCTGGGGATGCGGGTCTGTGGGTTGATCTCTATTAAGGCGTTTTTCTCTGTGTGGACGTAGACCTGCAGCAGACCTGCTCTGTTCAGTGGACTGTCCATCAACATGAGGAGACACTGAGGACAGACAAAAGCACATCACTGTCCCTGATAATAAGGAAGAGACAACAACAACACGTCTTCTTCTCAACAAAAAGAAATTCTAACAAAAAAACAGCAAGTACAAATCAAAGCAAAATGAACAAATAAACATAGTACTGTAAAAGGAAGTAGAACTAGACATCGTAGTAATAGTAGTAGTAGTATTCCTAGTATTACCTGGTGTGTGATATCCGGTCTTATGTGTCCCGGGTCTCTCCCACTTTTGATGATGATATTTTTGTGCTGATCACAGTTCAACAACTCGAAGCTTTTTCCAACCTGGAATTCAAAATAAAAACTCGGTAAAAATGTGTACACGGTTTAAACCAAGAGGAAACGGCGACGTAAACAACCCCCGGCTGAGGCCTCACCTTCACGGTCTCTAACGAGGCTCCCTCCAGGATCACCACCAGCCTCCTCTCTGCCATACGGTCGTGCAGACTGCGGAGGTATTTCGCCGGTTTTGGCTCATATTCGTCTAAATGTTCTAAACCACGCTTCTTCTCAACAGGAGCCGCCATGATGGCTTTGCACAGGAGTGTCGCAGGCTGATTACGTCAATGTAGACGTGTTGTTTAAAGGAAGGAGCAGAAAGAACACAAAACGATGTTTAATTCGAGTTTAAATGGAGACGAAATAAACTAGAAGCGTCTATGGAAAACCTTTTACCAAATAATATTAAAAGTTAAATTAACCACATTGTTAAAACGGTTTGTTTATTAACATTATACGTCACCAGTGAGCGCCGGATGTTCCTTCACAACGTGCTGAAGAAAACTTCACGTGTGAAATATATCTCACATCGTCCGGAAAGAAAGTCGTCTTTGGTGAAAAGATCACGGATTAGTTGGTGAGTGTTTGAACGGTTGGTTTTGTGTTTCACATGGGAATCGAACCTTCACTCTGTCTATCTGTACGTACTTGGCCTTTGTAACCTTTTCACTAAGACACACTGCATGCGGTCCAGTCGTCAGTCGTCCTCCTGCTGGTAGAAACTTTAATAATGTCGAATTAACAGCAACAACAATGAAATAGTTTGTGCAGAAATGTGAGGTTTTGTTTTGCAGATAAACTGCATTTCACTGCCCAGAGAAACGAGAGTCTAACCGGACAGGCCACTGCTCTGCTCCCCTTTAACGAACTGTGTGTAAAATCAGATATAAATATATATAATACAACCGTGATCATGGTTAATTATGTTACCTTTTTTACTTTAGAGAAAATGGAACCAACAGAACAACTTGAGAGAAACTTGAAAAACATGTAAAGTAAAAGTGACGCAATTAATTACAAAACAACATCAAGTAAATAGAAATGATTAATTAAGATGGAATAAAATAATAATACATGTTTATTATAACAATATAAAAAGTTAGATTGGTGATTATGTCGTTTATTTTTGTCTGTTTTTTTCTTTGCTTCAACGTTTCAATGTATTCAGCGCGGGATTAATAAAATGTAATCTAATCTGATCTGATCTAGTTTAATCTGATCCAGTATCGACTGCAGCAGGTACTGCAGTAGTATCCAGTTGCTCCGGGGCCACAGTGCCGGGGCAGGTTCAGTGGACGGGCAGTTAATCCGTCTTTTTTCCGTCTGCTGTTTCTCAGCTCGTGGTCATGGGTCGGAAGTTGGATCCCACCAACAAGGTGAAGCGGGGGCCGGGCAGGAAAGCCAGGAAACAGCGGGGCGCGGAGACAGAGTTGGCCAAGTTTATAACTGATGGTGAGTGCGACCTTCACCTCACCTTCTCCTGAACTCATCACCGCCTCAGTGTGGCGCCAAAACAAAACGTCATCATCGAGATGTGATGAAATAATTATTTCTCTTTTTTTCCCTGTTTATAGAAGAATCTGAAACAAAACGCCTGTCGAGCCGAGGCAGGAAAAGGTAAACGTTGACTTATGGAGTACTCGTCCGTGTACTACCTCTCTGGTTACATGTACTTTACTCATACTCTTACTTTTCAGAGCTGCTAAGAGGCTCCAGAAGGTGAAGGAACCAAAAGAAAAACTGAAGAAAGGTAAAAAAAAAAGTAGTGCCTGTAGTTGCAGGTTAATGTGATTTTTAGAATTTAAATTTGGATAAATTTGAAAAAGGAAACTCAGCAAACGTAAACATTCTGTGCAGATCTGAGATTGACAGTTCTATATTTATGATCATGTGTATGAACCAGAAGGATGGAGGAAATTTGATCAAATGTTTTTTCAAACCTCCTGTAGACTTTACTAAAGGAGCATTCCTCAATTTTTTTTATGTTTGTTTTACGTCCAAGGATTCACTGATGAAAACAGTAAATGGTTGAAACCAGTGAAGAAGAAACAGAAAACTGATGAAAGTGAAGAGGACAGCGATACAGAGTGGGAAGAAGAGGAGGAAGAGGAGCAGGAGGAGGTGAAGCTACAGCCACAGCCCAAAGTGAAAGGAGGAGAGGAATTAGGAAAAAAGACGTTGAAGAAGACGCCACAACCGAAACAAGAGGAGGAGGAGGAAGAAGATGATGACGACGACGATGACGAAGAAATGGTTGATGATTATGGCACTGTTAATGATGAAAGTGGAGAAAAGTCAGGAGAAGAAGAAAGTGATGAAGAGGTGGGTGGTTTTATATTATTCAATTATCAGATTATATTTGAAGTGAATTAATCACAAAAGTCTTAATGTGATTTATGTTAATGTATTATATATATATATTTTTTTTTTGACTTTGTTTTTGTATTTTATATTTAGCTTCTTCCCATCGAGCGAGCAGCAAAGAAAGAGAAGAAAAAGAAGAAGAGCATGGCTGAGGAGAGTGATGAAGATGAGGATGAGGAAGATGAGGAGGGAGAAGACGACGATGAAGATGACCAATCAGACGGTGACATGGAAGAGGAGGACACTGTCCAGGCCAACATTGATGAAATGGATAAGTTTCGTCTTCCTGGAGCCGAAGAGGCCGAGAAAGAAGGTGGAAAAAAAAAGATTTTGTTAAAAGATTTCAAATAAAAACAACAATCGTTCTGTGAATAATTCACACGTTTGTTTCCTGTGTACGTTTGAAGCCGTCCTGCCTCTGGACCTGAAGACGGTTTATCAGCGAATTAAGGACAACGTCGACGTTCTCTGTAACTTCTCCTCCAAAAGAGAGGAGGGAAAATCCAGGGCGGAGTACATCAGTCTGCTGAAGAAAGATCTCAGCACCTACTACAGCTACAACCACTTCCTCATCGAGAAGTTGATGGACATCTTCCCCCTGTCAGAGGTGTGTGTGTGTAAATATATACAGTGAGGCCTCGAGATACGAGTTTTCCAGGTTAGGAAGTTTTCCTCAACGCAGCTCCATTTTTTTCCACCCGACAAACAAAAGGCGACTCGACACGTTATATACAAATAATTATTATTATTTTATATGATCAATATATTTGTTTATACCTATGTTTCTGCTGTTTACATATATATACACTCATATATTTATATACACTTACGTATACGTGGTTACCTTCATATTTTCCCATTAAATGTCAGATGGAAGTGGACTGAGATTCTGGTTCTGTTCTTCTCACTGACAGCTGGTCGACTTCCTGGAGGCCAATGAAATTCAGCGACCCGTCACCATTCGGACCAACACTCTGAAGACGAGGCGACGAGATCTCGCTCAGGTGAGTTGCTGGAACGTGACACGTGGTCTCCCCGGTCAGTCCTGGACCCTGAACGTCCCTGCCTCTGTTTCCAGGCCTTGATCAACCGAGGCGTGAACCTGGACCCACTGGGGAAATGGTCAAAAGTGGGTTTGGTGATCTTCGACTCCTCCGTTCCTATTGGTGGGTTTCAGCACGTCCTGTGAATGTCTGAACCAATAACTCCTAACTATTCTGATCAGTCGATGAAGGACCATGGTCTGAGCATCTGAGAAGCTGATTGGTTGTCTGATTGTCTGTGCAGGCGCCACTCCAGAGTACCTGGCCGGTCATTACATGTTACAGGGAGCGTCCAGTTTTCTGCCTGTCATGGCGCTCTCTCCACAGGAGGGGGAGCTGGTGTTGGACATGAGCTCAGCTCCAGGAGGGAAAACCACATATATTGGTGAGATTTTCTGACGTCTAATCTAGGTCACATGACTGAGGTCACCACAGCCTGGTGGTCAGAGCTGTGAACTGCAGAAGTCGCTGCTTCTTAAAAACTTCTCTCTGAAATTACTGGACCTGTTCATCCAGAACAGAAGGTTCTAGATCCACCAATCAGTTCCAATATGTACCTGGTTGAGCTGGTCCACAGCGCTTGAGTCACCTTTGACCCTAGACTTTTATCAAATGGATTTTTTTTCCATTTGATTGGCAGCTCAGCTCTGTTGTTTATCACCAGTGAAGGTTGACTTTGAACTTTCTTCATCTTCAGCTCAGCTGATGAGGAACACCGGGACCATCGTAGCCAACGATGCTAACGCTGACCGCTTGAAGAGCGTGGTGGGAAACATCCACCGTCTGGGCGTCACCAACACTGTGGTCTGTAACTACGATGGCAGACAGTTCCCAAAGGTAACTACAAATATGTGGAAGGAGTACTTCACTGGTTCAGGTCTGTATCACAGTACAGCAGTGTGAAGTTTTTGTTTTTTTTCTCCCCCCACAGGTGATGGGTGGGTTTGACAGAGTGCTGCTGGACGCTCCGTGTTCAGGCACAGGGGTCATCGCTAAAGATCCAGCAGTGAAAACCAGCAAGGTACCGATTATTTACACTGGTACTGTACTAGAAAAAGTACTCTGAATACTGGCTCATATTCAGTACCTGCTCCCCCCTCACTCCCCCCCTCCTTCCTCAGGACCAGGTAGACATCCTGCGCTCCGCTCACCTGCAGAAGGAGCTGCTCCTGGCCGCTATAGACTCTGTCAATGCTGAGTCGCCCTCAGGAGGATATCTGGTGTACTGCACCTGTTCAATAACGGTATGATTGTGGCGTAGATCTGTGTAGGCTCTTGGTGAAGGTGATATATGCGGTCGCCTAGAGCGCCATCTGCTGGAGGGACCCTGGCTCCACCCAGAAAGTGTTAAATGACATTCGTACTGTGTTCCACCAGGTGGAGGAGAACGAATGGGTGGTGGACTACGCCTTAAAGAAAAGGAACATCAAGTTAGTTCAGACAGGACTTGACTTCGGCAAGGAAGGCTTCACAAGGTCTGAAATATGGAAACTGTGTGTGTGTGTGTTCTCGGGTAACGCATGATTTTATGTTTTTAATCTCTTTTTTTTTTCCATCTTGTAGATTCAGGGAACGCAGGTTCCATCCTTCTCTGCAGCTGACTCGGCGATTTTATCCTCATTCTCACAACATGGACGGGTTTTTTGTGGCTAAACTGAAAAAGTTCTCCAATGTCATTCCGACCACGCCGTCAGACAAAGGTAACGCCGCTGAGCTGGATGTGTTGGTTTCTTTTTTTTGTTTTTTTTTCCATCTGTTTACAATGTTCTAATTCCAACGTTTCTGTTCCAAACGTAGAGGACGACGTGACGGAGGCGTCTGAGGGGACGACCGCTGTCGAATCTGCTGAAACCAAAGGCGTCAAGACCAAGAAGACGGTCTCTGGTCAGGCAGGAACCGCCCACACCAACGGGACGCCAGCCAAAGAAAACAACAAGAAAACAAACGTCAAGTCCAAACGCAAGGAGTCCCCCCCAGCTGCTGGACCGAAGAGGGCAAAGGTCGCCAAGCTGGACGCACAGACTGTGAAGGCAGCAGTGAAGAAGAGTGACCAGAGTAAAGCGTCCAAGGCTGCCAAACCTGATGGGAAAAAATTGGAGAAAAAGAACGCCACAAAAATGAAACCACGCATAAAAAAGAACAGAATAGGGAAAAACAAATTCAACAAACTGAAGAAGATGTTGAACAAACAGGATGACGTGTGATTTTGTACGTGGTGTGTTCAGGTGTGTGTAATAAGAGCAGAACGATGTATTAGAAATGTACAGCTGGAGAAAGAGGCTCCTTTTTTATTTGTATGACAGATTAGTCTTTGTGTTTGTTGATTTAACTGCAGAGTGGGACAATGTTGAAGAATCTGTGAGATCAAAATACATTTTAAAATATTTTCCTCATTGATGTGTTTCATTCTTCTGTGGTCGATGTGAATCGTTTTGGGTTTTTTTTTTTTAGAATTTGTTACTTTTGTGTCCATCTACCTGAACCCACAGATGTTTGTAGCTGTTCTTCAATTAAATTAACAACACGATCTAAAGTGTTGTATCCTTCCCGCCGAAAACATTGAAATGACGTCCAAAAACAAGAACACTTTCACGAACGCACCCGAAAATCTTATTTTATACAGGCGTTAGTTCGTTTATATTTTCACATGGGACTTCATCATGAGGACACCAGGGGGCTCCATAGACACAGGAACTGTATGTAGGAGTTTAGAAAAAAAGAGAGGGAATCACAGTCACGTGGTTAATCGAGGCAGGAAGCGGTGGCACTGGTATTTACATTTTCCAAGATGGCGGCCGGGATGTATTTGGAGCATTACTTGGACAGTACGCTTTTTATTTTATTTCCTCAACATGTCGCAGAAATATTAATGCACACTTTACAATCTGTGACGTAATTATCGCTGCCTTGTTACTTCGGCATATTTTACGAATTCACCAATGATCGGAGTCAGAGTCGACTGACGACCGACTGTTTTAGGCTCAGTCTATTTGCTGAAAAGGACGTTGCATGGGGCGAAGAAGGGATGCTGTCTGCGGCTACATGCAGACATGTCCTCGCTGTCTTTTACCGAGTTCAAAGTTTGTCTTTGTCTTGTCTCCTACTCTTCTCATTATTCGAGGACATTTGTATTTGAACAGCTAATGTTAACAACGCGACTGCTATCCTTTTCCCGCATCTCTCCACACACCGCAGCTAGCTTCCCTGTTTTTATTTACAGTGAGATTAACTGTGGTTTCTTTCACTTCAACAGGCATCGAAAATCTGCCGTTCGAGCTGCAGAGAAACTTCAATTTGATGAGAGATTTAGATCAACGCACTGAGGGTGAGACAACAGCGTGGACAGTAGTAGTTTTCATTCAGGAAACAACCACGATTACTCTGTACATCAGTGGGAAAACATCACGACAAACTGTTGATTTACGGTTCATGGTTTTACCATGGTGGTACTTGGTATAGTTAATAAATTGTAAATTTTATTTAGCTCGATATACATTTGTTTTCTCCATAAATTGTATGGTATCGAAATAGAAATTGTTTAAGTTTAAAGTAGAATCAGAAAATAACAAAGAACTCATTATAACTCAAACTGCATCTGAGCATTTGTTCAATTTTGAAACTTTGTTTTTATTTTTAGATCTGAAAGGACAGATCGACTCTCTGGCTAAAGAATACACGGCCAACGCTCGCACTCTTCACTCCGAACAGAAGCTGTCAATACTGAGGCAAATTCAACAGTCCTACAGTAAATGTAAAGAGTTTGGAGATGATAAGGTGCAGCTGGCCATGCAGACGTACGAAATGGTTGGTACCTCACTCTTTTATAGACCTATTCTGGAAGACCAGTTTAACCAGAGTGTGTTGACTGTAGTGGAGCTCAGTGGACGACGGTCGGCTAAAGTGCTGTCTCCTTAGGTTGACAAACACATCAGACGTCTGGACACAGACCTGGCGCGGTTCGAGGCCGACCTCAAGGAAAAGCAGATTGAGAGCACAGATTATGATTCCACCTCCAGTAAGGGGAAGAGAGGTGGGTCTTTTTTTTTTCATTTTGTTGCCATGGTGACGTTGAAAACCTTGTGAGTCAAGTCACTGTTGAGATTCATTTCCCTGTGTGTGTGTGTGTTATCTTCAGTAGAATCACGACAGAAGGAGAAGAAAATGGCTAAAACAAGGTCAAAGGTCAAGAGTTCAGATGAAGATGGAAGTCCTAAGAGTGCACAGAAGAAAGTCAAACTCCTCCAACCGTAGGTGTTGCTGCTGCTGCGCTCCAGACCGTGAGCTGCTGCGGTGGGAACTGTTCTCATGGAATGTGTCTGTATTTTTCCTCAGGGGAGAGTTCAACAGTCCTTCCTCCAACTTTGGAAACGTTCATCCCTCTGATGTGCTGGACATGCCGGTGGACCCCAACGAACCCACCTACTGCCTGTGTCACCAGGTGTCCTACGGAGAGATGATTGGCTGTGACAACACTGACGTGAGTCGGATTACATTTTTATTATCATTATTTTTATTATTTTTAGGGATGAGGCTGATTGGTCACTTTAAATACCGACAGTGTGAATGGCTGTTTTCTTCATATGCGACCTCGCAAGAAACGGTTCAACAAAAAAAATCATATAATTTCCATATAAATCTCCATGAGTCATATGATGGAAATGCAACATTTTCCCAATTTATTCTAATTAAGGCATTTAAAAAAACATGGTTGACATCGTTGTCTAGAAACTGATGTTTCTTAATCCACTGTGACCTTTAATTCCTCTCCTAAATATTCATCATTATTTTTTATTTCTGCATTTGTTTACGAAGCATTGACATTTGTAAAGGTCGCTGTTAGTCAAACAAAATTAACAAAATTAAAATTTAAACACAATAAATATATATATTCAGATTCAAACAATTTAATTTGCTATCAGCTGTTACTGTGTGGGTCCCTGGTCCCTGTGGTCTCAGGCTGGACCTCTGTCTTCTACTGGGACTGGTTCTACTCCTGCAGCCCTCACTGGGAAAGAGGAGATAAAAAATACATCAATTACTGTATTGATGTTCCCATTAACATTTAGGAAATTAAAATATACTGTCTGTAAATAAAGGAAATGCCTTAAAAAATACAAACAGGTGTAACTACGCCCTCTGCTGACGATTACTGGTATAAAAGATGAAAGAAAATTAAGCGTTATTGATGTTTTTTAATTATCAGCAGAATAAATTCAGCAAACTATCACTATGGATAAAATGTTCAGTACAGTGTGTGTCATAGTGTGTGTGTATTTAACCATGTGTGTGTTTTTCCAGTGCTCCATTGAGTGGTTCCATTTTGCGTGTGTTGGCCTGACGACCAAACCAAGAGGAAAATGGTATGAAAATGATTCTCACCTTAAAATAAAATCAGTTGTTTCTCATCAAAGCCTGTCACCTGACTTTATTTTCCATATATGGTCACCAGGTATTGTCCACGGTGCTTGCAAGACCGAAAGAGGAAATAAAGGGTCCTCAAAGAAGGGGACGTCTATCAGATGGAAAATTGAAAAAAAAATCCTTTTCATCAATTTCTCAAATATTTTGTTTCTCATTTCTTAACATTTGGTGCTTTTACTTTTGGTTTACACTAGATAATTGGCCTTGGTTTGATGCAGTGAGTGTGAAGGAACCAAGAAGTTACAGTTATATTTAAATAATGTTTTCTGTTAGGTAGCTGTTAACAGATGTTTCATTTTTTAAGATACTTTTGTTGCTGTTTTGTGTGTTTTTTTATATATATATTTTTATTTTACATGTGAATAATGAACACTACATTTTTGCCTAATGGTTTTATGGTTTACATTTCCCTAATACTGTACAATATATATTTGTTTGACCACAAAGTTTCTCTAAAAAAGGTTTTGGCTACGGCTTTTTTTCTTGCTTACATAGTTAGGTTCTTTTGCATAGCCTGGAACAATTTCTAGTTTTTCTAAGTGTAACCAGATGGAAACAATCATGGGATACTGCCTTCTGACAGTATTAGTCATCTGTGGTAACAAGTTAAACCATTTCATTTTAACGTTGGATTGAGAGCTGTATCTGAAGTAAAACATTTTGTGAAAAGTATTTCTGTAGCTGAAACATCGGTACCAGACTGGAGGGGGTGATTGTGTTGTCAATCATTTGAATACAGCTACTACCTCAAAAAAACAAAAAACAACCCATGCCTCTGTGTGTGTTTTATTGTCTAGTGACAACATATAGACCATGTCATAGAAACACCAAACCACAGTAGAAGTATTTCATGTACATGGCATGGTATTCTAAAATCATATATGATGTCATACAGATACTAAACTGAGAAATAAGATTTAAATTTGTGCCTCTAAATGCCAAACAAGGGCAATGTTTTTTTCTTTCACTCCATGTAGCCATGACCAAAGCTAATAGCTTCCATGCTAATTTGTAAACATTGACAAAAGAGTTTATAAACGTATTTTTGAGGCCTATATCTGACTGTAATAATCACAATTTGCAAAGACTGTCGTATACTACGTAAAAACATCGATAGATCAGAATATTTGAACGTTGATCGATTTAGGTGTAGTTCTTGTTACTCACCAAAAGGTGGTAATGTTGAGTCTCAGTTTCTGCGAAACTATTGGCGCATATAAATGACGCAACAGGCTCGTCGTTTTGGCGCGATGTCTATAAAATTTCAAACCAGACTAGTTGGAGGCAGTGGTAACGGAAGCTGCGAGTCTGTAGCTACAGACCAGCTTCGTTTCTTTCTGGACCACAGGCTTTTAAACGGTAGGTGTTCTATTCAAAACTTATATAAACATATTTAAGTCAAGTTTCAACTGGTGTTCGGGAAACACCTATTGTGCTGCAGAGGCCGTTAGCATGAAGCTAACCGAGCCGTTTACTCATTTAGTAGCAAAGTTTACACGGACAAAGCAGCCGTATGTTAACTAAATACAGTAGATAAACGTTTGATAATTGTGTTAAATGTTTGAGAACATATATAATTAGAAAAGTCGAATGTTTCTAAAATAGTTTCTGTTGTAATTTGTATTGACAATGTAAAGTCGATCAACTAGAGACCGTACCTACATTCATCTGTCCCGATTCCAGTGTTTTTAAACACTAACACTAACAAAACACTAATTTAAAGACTCATTGAAACTAAACGACCCTTCATATTAAACAGTAACGTATATAAAACAACTACAATTAATGTTTGGTGTTTTTTTTTTTCAGCCAGCAATGTCGTGGGATTTTATTTTACCCCTTTGCCTCGGGGATTTGGTGAAGACTGGTGGGATCAACCAATACGTAGTACAGGATGTGGTCTCCCCGAAGCATCTACCATCCAGTGTCAACAGTAAGTATGAAGTTGATTTAGTTAAATCTTTAAGGAAAAATCTATCTAGTAATGTTTTCAACTTCCTTCATTTAGAATTCAAGAGTGCCCTCAGAAGCAAAGGGCCTCTGTGTATCCTGGAGCACTTTGATACTGGCTACAGTGTGCTACAGTGAGTCTTTATCTCAATGCTAATTTATAGAATTCTATTAAAAGTTAAGAAAAGAAATGAACTCTTTGCTGTTGTTGTAGACACTGTAACTCAGTGGAGCTGGGTGTTAAGGAGGACACTCTGGAATTACTGGTCCAAGGTAAGAGTTTTAAATTAGTTTTTTCTATCAAAGTTTTAAAAAACATTCTGGACTCTTTCTGAACATGTGTGGAATTCTTTTCCTTCAGTGGTCAACAGCCTTGCTGGTTCTCTGCCCGCCGTACTCATCTCCACCACCACCCTCTCCACCGAGGAGCGCAAAGAGAAGCTCAACGCCGTTAAGATGAGCGTCTTCCTACTCTGCAAGCTAACGGAGACCCTGGAGGGTCACTCTTCAAGACAGAGTATTGTCTCTGCTCCTGGGAAGGTGTGGATCATCATAACACACACACACACACACACCCTGCTGGGATGTTCTTATGGTTCAGTCATTAGTTTTGATATGATTGAATGTTCTTTTTTTTTTGTTCTGTTACACAGGGTGGTAAAAAGGGTAAAGCTGGCGAGGGTCTGTTACAGTGGGACTCGGAGAGAGAAAGGGTGCTGCAGGTGCTCATTCAGCTCCTTCAGCTGGATATCCGTTCCCTCTGGAATCTCTCCCTGGTCGAGGAAGAGTTTGTCAGGTACTGATATAGAAATGGACGTTGTTGTTTCCATTAATACAGATATAGGTTTAATCTGTTCCACAACAGCACTCCTCTCCATCGCATGTTCCCCATTAAAAATAACTGAAAACCAATTAATTCATTCCAGCCCCCATAAATATACTTCTTATTAATTAAATTAACCCCCCAAATGTAAACAAACAAATATATTGATGATAAAAAAACTGGTAAAACAGAAGTACATTTTTTAGACTACTTTTTAGATAATACTTTATTAATCCCTCTGGAGAAAATTAGGAATTCTTGCATTTAGATGTAAATAAGAAAACTTATTTTTGTGTCTGGTTGGATCATTTTTAAATCAGTGTTTTGGTTACGTCTGCAGTTTCATCTGGGTTCTAACAAGTACTTTTTGGGGTCTGTATGTGTTCATTTTAACAGCTGTGTGACCTGCTGTTGTTACAAATTACTAGAGAATACGACCATCGGCCATGTCAAGAACAAACCCACCAGAGATGGAGTAATCCACCTCCTGGGTGTGTCGATCAAAAAGTACAATCACCTCCTGGGTAAGTCCCTCGGTGACACCTGTGACCTTTGAATATGACGGCTGCTGATGAGGTCGTGTCCACAGAGTTCATTCTCATTAACTCTTTCAGGTGCCAGTGTCAAGGTGATCCAGTTGCTGCAGCACTTTGAACATTTGGCGTCGGTTTTCGCTCAGGCCGTGGCTGTTTGGGGCAAAGAGTACGGAGTTAGGACCATCGTAGGAGAAGTGTTGAGGTCGGAGCACACTTCAATCACAGAACAGAACTTACCCACTGTGGCTACATCATTTTTTTGTATCAAAATTTTAAATCTTCATTATGGTTATTACAGGGAGATTGGTCAAAGGTCAGGGGAAGAGCTCGCCAGAGAAGGGTCAGGGGTCAAAGCCTTTTCTCTGTTTCTGTCAGAACTCGCTACAATGGTCCCTGATCTAATCATCCCAAACATCAGCATGCTCATCACACACCTGGAAGGAGAGGTAACACACACACACACACACACACACCTGAAGAGGAGAACCTGCTCCTGAAAAACAGTTTTATTAAGTTGGAATTCAGTGCCAAAATCTTTGGTTAATTAAAAAAAGACTTGCACAACATATTTAAGATGTACAGTCAGTGATAGAAAAATGTTGCCCAGTGATGAGACCAAGGCAAATATGAGCCAACTGACCTGGAGCCGGACTCTCCTTTGTCTGTTAGTGGCAGGTAATCTTGGCAGTGCAGAGGAGCGTTTCTGCTCTGCTGTAAGGGCCGGCCTACAGTGTACAGGCTAATCCCAAATTATTCCTCGTTAGTGACTGGGGCGTAATGACCGGGATGATGCCGCCATCAGTGTCTGGGTTTTACCGCGTTTAAAAAGGCAAAGGAGTTCACCCGGTTCTCTGGACGGTGGTTAGCCATGAGTTCTTTCTTTGGTAATCTGAGGGCAGTCACTGACAAACCCCTGTCTTGTCCTGTGACTCTGAGGATTTTGTTGTTGTTATTAAACACATTTTTATACAAATATATATTTTTTCAGAGCCACACCATGCGTGTAGCTGTGTGTGAGGTGCTGGGCGAGGCTCTGGTTCAGGTGCTGTGTGGCGACGGCCTCGATGACGCTGGTAAAGCGGACCGCGACCGGTTCTTGGACACGATTCAGGAACATATTCATGACACGCACTCCCACGTCAGGACCCGTGTTCTGCAGGTGTACACACGGATCGTCAACAGCAAGGTGTGTTTACCTGATAGGCCAGGGGTCACCGACCTTTCTGAGACCAGCACCCAGGCCCCCGGCACCATGTTGGTGACCCCTGTGATGGACCGTGATGTGAAGTTGTTGTTGTAATCCAAACTGTCTTCATGTGTTCAGGCTCTGCCTCTGTGCAGATACAGCGAAGTGATGGAGCTTGCTGTGGGCCGACTGATGGACAAATCAATTAATGTGGTGAAGAGCGCCATCCAGCTGTTGGCAGCCTTTATTGCACACAACCCCTACAGCTGCAAGGTAACTCCCCGTGAGTCCAAACTGGAGTAGACGGCCTGGGGTTCTGCCAACTCACCAGAATGTTTGTGTTTGTGTCAGTTGAGCAGTGCTGATATGAAGAAGCCGCTGGAGAAGGAAACGGCAAAACTCCGAGAGCTGAAAGAAAAGATAGACGGGAAAGCACCAGGTGTGTGTGTGTGTGTATAAACTCCTGTCGAAGTCATCTGAAGTCGTGCCAAAACTTCATTTCTGCCCAGTGATGAGACCAAGGCGAATACGAGCTTACAGGCCGAGAGCCGGATTCTTCTTTGCCTTTTAGTGGCAGGTAATCTTGGCAGTGCAGAGGAGGATTTCTGCTCTGCTGTAAGGGCCTGCCTACACTGAAACGGCTGTGACCAAATCACTCCCTAAAAGTTATTTTGGAGTGACTCTGGGAATACCGCCGACATTGTGTGTAGCGTGTGTGAAAAGGCAAAGAAGTTCATCCTTCTCTCTGTGACGCTCAGTAAGCTGTGAGTTATGTTCTTTGGTAATCTGAGGGCCCAGCTGTTGGCACTGGTTATCAGTAGTTAATAGTTAGTAGTTAATATTTTTGTTCCACTCTACCATTGATATTATTTAGCACTTTGATGATTTTTTTAAATTAACAATTAACAGTGAAATATTCATCTTCATAGTTCATTTTATTTTTCTATTTATTTTATTTATTTTCAGTCATTGTACACAGCGCCATTACCAAAATGAAGCCGACTTCATCATACAAAACCAAATGGGTTCACGACTTAAACCGTAATAAGTGTTAAACTTGTGAACTATAATAACCTCAGACATGATAAACCAAGCACAGCCCAGCAGGTGGAGACACTTGGAGGCTTTTGTTTTTTTCAGGGTGCATTAACTTTAACCTGCCCCCAGTTCTGAAGCAGTGGTAACAAAAAAATAAATACTGTAACTTATCTTTGATTGCAGTGGCAGTGATTAAGGCCTCTGAGCTGTGGGCGGCCATGGAACCTGAGTTGCTGGTCACAGTGAGGGCAGAACTGGAACCCAGCAGTGAAACTGAGGAGCAACAGGAAGGAGAAAAAGAAAAGGAAGGAGAAGATGATATGGCTACTGCAGTGATGATCGCCCAGTACCTCCGTGTCAACAAGTACAGGTAGTCCAAAGTACTAGTACTAGTACTGAGTGTGTCTGCGTCAGTGATTTTTATCCAGACTGCCACTGAAAAATGTTTGATTTCCCATCTCTGTCCACTGT